ATATATATATATTGTGTGTATCACAAAAGTGAGCATACATATCTGGGATCCTCTGTGTCTGATTTCTCTCTGTCCACATCTTCTTCTACCCGCCCGATAAATCGCTAGGAGACGTGATATAGGTGGTGTGGGTTGTATTGTATATGTAAGCTGTCGACTATGTTTGTACGAGGTGTAATTTATGTGTTTATCGTATATTGCACACACTAAGTCACAGCCCCAAATGGCCGCTGTGAGGCCCAGAATGGCCGCTGAGGCCAAGATATTGGTCGGTCCCAATAATAAAAATAAATAGCCGACGGTTTTGGCTTCTACACACAATTCTGAATCCCTGACGAAAGCCGATTTTGGATTAAGAAATTTGAAGTTTCAATGTCGCATCTTAAAGCGACTACACCGTATGCTTGCTGGGAGTGACGTGGTATATGATATCCTGAGTCTCAAGTCTCTCAACCCTCAAGTCCCCGGCGAGTCCAGAGTCCCGACTCATCGCGAATTCGCAATATGTTATCTTTTAGATCAGTATGTAAATAGCATGACGTATAAATATCGGTCAGCTGATACATAGTCGTTTGTTTTGTTTTTTATTTTTATTTTATTTTAAATATATTTATTCTTTAGCATATAGCATTCTTCTTAAAATAAAACAACCATTTCAGTTTTGTTTCTTTCTTTTCTTTTTCTTCTTTTTCAATTTTTAGTTTTCAAGATTTATTTGATCATGTTTTGGCTTTTGTCATAGCCTTCCTAATAAATAAATACAAACAGTATTGGTCATTTTTTCAAAACAATACATATTTTGTTTGTATATAAAATAAATACCAAATGAAATTGATCTATGTAGCTTCTTTTTTTTTAAATTTAGGATGCATGTGGGACTATGTACATTAAAAATAAAATAAATTATATAAATAAATAGAAATATATTACAAAATATATAAAAATATCACTCTTCGAGTCTTCTTGCTTTCACTTTGAGACACAGCGACGGTTGTGATAGAGGGTTTTTTTAAATAAAAACACCATTTTAGTGTGTTTGTATTGACTTGTGTTTTCACTATGTATTCACACTTTATCGTTGTAGCATTCACATTCCACAGTCATCTAAGGGATTCTGATTTGTACAAACGGATCAAGCTTTCTGACATTGTGAAATGACCAAATTGGTCATACAACGCTTTTAAGTGAGTGAGTAATGACTACAGGTGACATGCACATGTAGCTATAAAACCAGGGCACCCTCTTCTGTCAAGCTCACACTATAATACACTGAACTAATTACACTAGAATCGCGATGATGCAGCGCTTTACCCAAAACACTCGAACCATTCTTAGACAAATGTCTACACAGAATGCGAACAAGACCTTCACGGAGTCCGCCAAGGAAACTTTGAGCAAAGCGGCCGCTGGAGCCAAAGATATGGCTGAAGCAGGATTTGAGAGAGCCGAGGACGCCGTATACGGTGATCACAAGGAAGGCGCCAAGGGATCCAACAACCTTGAGGATGCCAAAACGGCCGTTAAAAATGCGGGAGAGGAAATTAGCAACACGATAGGAAAGGTTAAGAATGAAGTGAAAGGTGAGTACAACAAAGCTAATAAGAATGCAGAGAACTACACAGCTGAGGATGCAAAAACCGACGCCAAGAATGTTGGCGAAGATGTCAAAGCCGGTATGTCGAAGGCGGCAAATAAAGCTAAGGGAGCAGCCGAGAAGGCTACGCAGTGAGTGATCTCAGTCGGAGAGGACAACATTTCACAAGGATCGGTCTCAGAAAGTTCGCCGGAGTCAGGAATAATATTTCACGTTTTTTGAAATAAATTATCGAGTATCTTTATACTCGGGTATTGAAATTGATTGTAGTCTACTGTAATTTAAAGCGATAATCAGTATCTACTAGCAACCGAATCGAGGAGGCTTGATCTTTACGGTCGTTGTAATAGATAGGGGGAGAGAGTTCTTATACGTGACAGTTGATGAGTCGTAAAGTTTTCTTTGGGTTAACCGTCAGTAATTCATCCTCTACATAAAAATAGATATATCTTGACGTAAATGTTGCATAACACTTGCTCACAAGGTTTGTATCGTCATTATAAACCGAATTAAAACGGCTGAATATGTAGACATATTGCTAATAGTATTTGCATGCAAAGTAGTAAATAATCATGCAGCAGCCCCTGACCCAAGATCGATTTTGTCATCGCTTTTGCGTATCCGATAGACTGGTCGGAAGTCTATGGTCCTGATACCTTAAACATGTTGTTAGTTTGTGCAGTATTCGAACCTACAATAATGTAGCTATAGCATCCCTAAATGCATGAATGTGAAAATACAAATTATGATGGTTTAGAAGGAGGGATACTATCATAGTTTCAAAAAATGCGCTTATGTGCTTAGAAACTAAATCATGGTGTGCAGAAGTTTCTATTAATCGATTGCATAGGTATACATTGTCATTTGACGGAATAGAATACATTTACATTGCTATTCTGAATGTAAATACCGACAACTCCGGTTTAAAGTGAATACTAGACTTGCCTTGCAAATTTGGGTCAATACTGGCAGCGGTGTTGCTTTATCTTACTATTTTTTCTCATTGTCGAAAATGCCTCGATATCTACCACTAAATGGAAAGTTTCGCTTTTTTTTTAGAGAATAATAAGGGCCACGCTCACAACATACGCTGGTGGCGATTCTTTCCTCACTGTCGAAACTCGGAAATGTTTCGATAACTACCACTAAATAATATGAACACTCATCGATGAATGTTGAATATCAATGCAAACGGTCCTGAAAACATGTTTGACAGCTTTTTGGTTAGCTATTAGGACATGCTCGGTTTCATTTTTACAGCAGATGTTCGATCATGCAAAGACCGTAGTCAGCAAACATACTGAGGTATTTCTTATCTCCGTACTTACCTTTGTATTCTTCCCATTATTACAAGGCCAACACACTAATCGGACAATTCACACTCAAGTCGCAAACTGTATAAATAACTATGGATACTCTACATTACTTGGGAAAATAAAATGAGCTACACTCACAACTGATTGCATACGCTACGTCTTTGTTGTATTCAATATTCAAGAATTAAAAGATTCAGTAATTAAGTTCGCATTTATTGACATATCATGTAATACAATATAACATCCATAGTTAGGAATCCGAGCTGGGATACGCTTTAGTCCCGGAACATCGTCAAGTCCAGATTCTAGTTCCTCATATCGTTCGTAACGCTGCTAGATTGAGCGATGTTTTTTTTCTTCACTTAAATCAGTTTCTAGTTCTTCATATCGTTCATAACGCTGTTAGCGGTATTGCTGGCTTTCTCGGCCTTGTGACCGGCGGTGTCTCCTGCACGATCAACAGAATCGGCGGTCTTTTGACTGGTGGACTTCTCGCCGTACACGGCTTGACTAACGGTATCACTCACGGTGTTCATGGCGCTGGTGGCTGCCTCCTTCATATCAGTCAGAGTGTTTGAGTTAGCGGTGTTGGAAGACATATTGACGAATGTTGTGAAAGTTTATAATCTTTTGGTTATTTGAATGGCCTTATCAACCTTTGATGGTATATTTATACATCACAGGCTACACAATATGTATATAATTATTGCAACGCCGCTAGATTTTTTAAAATACACATTTTCTAAAAATTGATAAAACGTGCTCTGTACAAAATATTATATAGAGAACAATATTTTCTTCTGTTATTTAAAAACAAAATGAAAACAATGTTTAATCTCTCCTACTCTTGACTTCTTCCGGTATGAAATTAAAATATTTTTTTACGACAGTCGGTCAGTGACATTCAGTTCCCCATCGACTTAGAATTTGAGGTATATTACTTCTTATGTATGTCTATAACCCCAGGAACTATGTCGGAAACTATCTTCGAAGGTTAGTTTCTGACCGGATGAGAAAGTTTGAATTTATTTCTCATGTTTGAAACAATTTGACAGTATCAAAAACCAGATCACTGGATCCAGGATCACAGGGTTGTCTATTGTTATTTTTAGTTATTTTTTTAATATGTAAGTGATATGAATGTTACAAAATATACCAATACATAACCATACTCTTTACTGTACTGACTACTGAGTGCATATGTATGAAACTCGGAATTTTGGATATTTTGAAGGCATTGGATGAGGAATAAGGGGACCAATAGATATGCATCAAGTCAGGTCTCTTAGTCAAATTTCTTATTCTGAGTGGCTGAAAAAAAACAGTACATAATACAAAAAAAAATAAAAAATATGTATCGTATTTTTTTTCTAAACAGCTGTATTACAGGAACAGTTATGAACTCATGAAGGCACTGTACTCTGGCGTCACAGTGGCGTGAGTCAGATTATTCACAGTGAACAAGAACAAACTATTATAAACTTCACAAAAACATGATGGAACACTGACTCACTTGACTGGAGGATGAAGAAACTTGTCTCTCTTGATTTTTTATCATCATCTCTTTGTTTGTATTCAATACTAATACAGTAATAGACACAGTGATATTCATTGGAATCGAGTACAAAAATACATAGGTGGCAGTTTGAAAAATCGTGGCACGCGTAGCTTCGCGTACATACACAGTCATATGTATTCAATACTTTATTGGGATATAAATACTGCGCCTTGTCGCTCTCTACAATTCATACGCAAAAAGAGAAAAGCAGAAATATTAACTCCAATATGTCTTCCAACGCCGCCAACTCAAACACCCTGACCGATATGAAGGAGGCAGCCACCAGCGCCATGAACACCGTCAGCGATACCGTCAGCCAAGCCGTGTACGGAGAGAAGTCTACCAGCCAAAAGGCCGCAGACTCTGTTGATCGCTCAGGAGATACGGCAGGTCACAAGGTCGAGAAAGCCAGCAATACCGCCAACAGCGTCATAAATGACATGAAGAACTGAATGAACTGCCATTGATCTAATTTCATAGTTCGATTAGTTATATTACCAACTTCACTGGGGCGGGTAATTCTAATAGTTGCGCGAACAACCCCTGATAGTCTTCCAAGTGCGGGCAACAGTTCCATCTCAGTTTGACATGCTTTTATAAAATACATTGCAACATGCCGACCACGAGCATACACATGTCTGTCAAAGCGGAGGAGACGAGCCTACTGGTCTTTTCAATAAAGATTGCCGTCTGAATTCGGGAATGAGATTTGAGGATAAGAAGGATCAATAGACCTAAAGGCTGACAACATATTTAGCACAAATAAAGAAGGTACTTCAACAGTACTTGTCTGATTTTTATATTATGTAGATTTTGGTATAGCTCGCAAATAACACGAACGATTTTTCGCTGGACTCAGTAAAACGTTAGATAATGTTTTACCTGATCCTTTTGGGGTTTGGAAAGTTTTGTGTACAATCAATATCCATCCCATTCCATTTAACTTTATCCGATATAGTTGCCACAGAGCCATGTCGAATCAGAATTGTAGCATATAATTATCCGACACTGTATTGTACTGTACTTGTTCTTTGTATCCATAATGTAGCTAGCAATTAGTAATTGTGTTACAATCAAGTAAGGTGCATCAGTTTTAGTATAGCTGATATTGCTGTAGTGCTTATTCATATAACATACGCATTGCTCATGTAGTCCCTGTATGTGATCGTACACTATTCTAACTCTCCGTGATCGTTAGTTTCTTTCTGTGTTTAATATAAACCTGAGACGCATGTTTTCTCAAAACAATAGACGTAGTATAGACCCAAGAGCTGAGGATTTACAGTATTGATAAGTTGGGATGGCGCCACATTTCTTATACATACGAATCAACCTTCGAAAGAAGAGATGCACTCGTTTGTTGACGAAGCTATATAGTAAACATATTGAACGACACAAACTAATGTCCACTTTGACCGTTCTTCTGGAAATAGATTAATGCTGCATAAGGCTATATAGCTATATGAAAAATTACAACGCCTTGTTTTATTCATTTTAATGTGTCATCCATAGTGGACACTTCACTAGTAGAGTAGTCTATAACTTCCTAAGTTCACACATCACGAACACCAAAATTGTTTCAAAATTCCAAGTGTGCCTTTGTCGATTTTTTTCCAATGGGTAAATAGAAATTTAAATATATCGACAAACGTAGCTCAACTAATATTACAAAATGCCAATAGGGCTGTCAGCCCGCCACAGCCGAGAAGGCAACATGAAAAACCAATACTTCCTCACATGAGGATGTTGTTTATTAATTCATGTGTAACAATATAGCTATCGAATTGTACTATATACTGTGAATTTGACAATATCATTGAGTGAGTGCTGTAACGGTTTTTGTTCGATGCCTCTATACACACACACGCA